TTTTTTTTTTTTTTTTTTTTTTTTTTTTTTTTGCAAATTGGTAATTTAGTTTTTAGAAGATTTTCGAACTTTGGGGAAATCTCGCAGACATTTGATTTGGAACTTCTTGATATTCCGGTTAGAAGCATACTAGTGTTTTACCCCCACTACATTTCATGACAAAGGAAAGGAGGTTTTTGTCGTTGCCGGTTTACGATAAGAACAGTCTTTTCTTTTGTTCTTCAGTTTCTTCGTTCGAAAGTGGAAGAGACCGATAGAAGTGGTTGAAACAAATGTTTGGTCAGAGTTCGTTATCAGCGCATATATCAGAAGGCAAGTTGCTTGAGAGGAAAGGCAGCCAGTTACTGTGGATTTCTTTCCTTTAACATATGCTGTACTTCATTTTTTCTATCAACCTTTACTATATTTGTAAGCGAGGTTCCTGCTGCCATAACTGTACCTACTGGAAGACCCCTCTAAGCTGCTTCTTGCTCGCTTGTCAATCTAACCAAAGCTCTTTTTGATTCTAAATATTCTGAACAACTTCCTCTGCTTTCACTTTGGAGCCTCTTGTCACAGATCATTTGAAGTGTAAGCTATATATTCACCTTATATTCTGAATTCGCTTTGTTCTACTGTTTCAGTTTGAACTTCTGCTGCAATTTAACCAATACTTGCAACTACTCACTCGCATTACTTTAATTGCCTTTCACAGATCGCATTACGGGTATAACGAAAGCTAAGGAATTCTTTGCGGTGGTTTGTCAATAGCTGCATCTGAAACTTTTTTTTGAAAACAAACTGTAAATTTACTGAACTGGGAAGGAATTGCATGTTGTATTAACGGATATTGCCGCCGAAAGCCGAGGAGAAAACGCTTCGGGAAACTCCGGGAGCAACCGATATGATTTATCCGGAAGATACTGAAAGAGAGGGGCTGGTCCTGACACCTCCAGCTTTAAACCCGGCGAGGAAAAAGATAAAGCAGAGAATGATAAGTCGCTGGAGCAGGCTGTATAAGAAAGTCTACGCACGAACAGGAGGAAGGAAGGAGTGTTCTCTTTTTTGTTTAATGTTAATTTTGTGATTGGTTTTGTTTATATTGATGAATTGGCGTATTGTACTGTTTTTTATACTATTTTTTATATTATACAAAGGGTTTAATTACCCAAGTTTGAGGCTTTGAGGCTGGCGGGTTGTATTGTCAATCTCGGAGTGAACATCGTGTTATTAAATATTGGAGATCCGCATGGCAGCGAAATTTGGTGACAGACGGACCAGGGGAGTCATCTTGAACAGTTATTTAACAAGAAAGAAAAGGATGAAGGAAAAATCTTTTCCTTTTGTTTTATAGATATAAACCTGAATTCTGACGACTTCTATGGTCTAGAGTAAAACCATGGTGGTGTTGGTTTTATGACACAAGACTATCTTTCGTTTTAAAATAAAGAGCTTGTAATTTTTAGAATTATAAGATGGTTTTAAGAGCTCTCTTTGATATGAAAAATGAAAAAAAGTGTGTCGTCGTCATAGTGGTGTGACGCATGATTTTATGCCAGTTGGCACATTTTTCATGTGGTAACTGGGAAGTTTTTTGGATTTTACTACTTACTGGATGGAGTTTGCACCAGATATAAAATGCTAAAAAAAGTACTTAGGGACATGGACTTTTGTCAACTTGTAAAGCTGCACCTTGAAATAAACTAACAATTTGCAGAAACTTCTGTTTTTCTAGACAGCACATCTTTTCCGGATTTGCAGTTCAACTCATCCTTAATAGAATCCAACGTTTTTTTTTTTTTGCTAGGCTCTGTTTTTTTGCGTTCATATAAGTACCAGAGCCCTTAACTTCTTTAAAAAAAAAAGGCAGGTATAATGAAAGCGGAATTCTAATAAATAACAAAAATTTTTTTTAGGTCGGAAAAGCTTAGTTTGAGTAGTTTTTGTTTTAAGACATCAAACTTGACGATGTATCTCTGATGGAATCGAGGATTATGACTTGCTTCCACAGTGATCACTTGCATCGCTCATTGCCGAAGCCGTCAACTACTGCAAAACCTACTTTGAGAGCCCAGGCAGAATCAGTATACGAACATTAAAAATTATTCTAAGAGATTGTATTTCACGTAAAAGTTTTATTATGATTTACAGTTAAAAGATTTTCGGTTTTAATGCTTATAGTATTAGATTAAGAAGATGCTTCTGATAATGTTGGGAAGATTTCTGGACCGTCAAAAATGTCTTTATTACACAAATTATGGAATTTTTTGTTGCATAGATAGGTATCAACTTAAACTGATATTCTTTTGTTTTCCTTTATTGATGCAGTTGTCTGAATTCGGGATCATTACAAAATCAAAAGAAATCTGTACCAACAATTTTTTTTGCTAAAACGGTAGTTTTTCAAAATCTTTCCAAATATGAGCACCTATTTGTCTATAAAGCGAACCTCACTGGGGACTGTATCACATCAGCTTGTTTTTTCGGCCCTGGCTCAGTGCGAGCCCGACTGAAAAATTTATGCAGGTTTCCATTGACGGCGAGAAATATCTTAAGGAAACACCATTTCTCTTCGACCGTCGCAGCTGGGCACAAAATTTAGGAAGCAGACGATGATGGAGCACAAGAGCTCTGCCAGAAGACTGCAAAATAACAAATCGCAAATATTTTCTTACAGAATGCAATGTACTTAAACCTGGAAAATCTTCAACAATTGGGCCACAATAGATTTCGATAACTGTAATCCTTAGCTTTTGGGGGCGGATTCTGTACCCAGCGAAGGTTGCGTCGCTGTAAAATATATGCGTCTGCAACAGTAACAAAGGATTCTCGTCAGTCTTGTCTTAACTTTTAGAGCACAGCTCTCAACTTTTTCATAGTTACATTACTATAGTCTCATATTTTATAAAACAAAGAACTCCACATCAAAGGTTCCTTTTTTTTAAAAAAAGTCAGAAATATTCTCAATGTTCCTTCTGAGCTTTTGCCTTCTTTGTGTCTACTCATTTGTTCTGCTGACTTAGGAATTGTGGCAAAAAAAAATTTGAAAGCATAAGAAATAGAAAATTTAGTAAACCTATGACTGTTTCATTTCGTCACGGTTGAGTTTAAATGCAAGTCTTGAAAATTAATCTTGCCGAGTAAAATTCTGGTAGTTTATGTGATCTTAAGAAAGCATAACTTAGGTGAGAATTTACTTTTCCTTATCTCCTCCTCAATGTTTTAGTTCGGGCTAGACTCAGCAAAGCAATAAAATTTAAAACATTTTAGTGCTCCAAGTGAAAAGAGTGTGCTTGCTGGAGTAGAATGGCTCTGAAAGTCTTCTAAGGATAAGAAAACATCGTAAAACTAATCCCAGAAAAGTCACGCATCCACCGATTTTTGCTGTTTTTCCCACCAGATTTGTCAGTGCGAGTAATGTAAAATAAATCCAAATTTGTTTCACTCTGTTTTTCAAACGGCTATTACTGTCTTATTTCAATTGGAAATCTACTGCAGAAATCGTTTTCTTACATTTGAAAAGAGTACGATTTAGGTCTACTTAAGTAAAATTAAACAGCTTTTAAGCTGATTGCAAAATTTTACGGAACTGACTTTTGAATAACTCAAACTTTTGCAGATCAGTTCAACTACGTTTAAACAAAGTATCTGGATTATTATAACCTCCTGCTCGGCACTTGCTTCTACAGTTGAGGCTTAGCGATCTGACTTTAACTGCTAACAAATGAATTGATTCAGTTTACTGTCACTCTTATTTTATAAATCCAGTTTAGTTTATAGTTTACAAATTTCTACCGTTGTAAGTACCTGTTTGAAAAACAGATTGTCAAAGACTTGTTACTTCTAATTTAACTGTTGTTGAACATACGCAAAAGTTTACAAGTTTTAGGCTTTTCTCGCAAAAAATCTCGTACATAAACAAAAGCACCCTAACAGGA